ATGAGTCAAATGGTTAATACGTCAAAATGGGCCAGCTTTCTAACAGAGATATAGCGCCGGCGGAGCCAAATTCGAAGACCGTCCCATTAGAGCACTGCATAGGTGCCAAGCAGTCACTACCACACCTCTTGCCAGGGCAGAGTGGATATACTCCTTACCTCTAGGACCATGGGCATTCATTGGAATCAGCCTGCACAATACACTAAACCTGTTCCTGATACCTCAGGTTGCAAAAATGACTCCCAAATATGCCTAGTATTTCAACTAATGCTGGAATTTTGGAAGCATTTCCCTTGCCCCTATAAGAATCTAATGGACATTGATGGAACATTAATGCAGCATATATGTGCATGCAGCATCTATCATACAATTTCTGCATGAATGTAAAATGCAGCAGCAGCACAAACATTTATATTACCTACATCACTTATTGTGTATATGTTACTTACTTATAGGTGAGGCCATCACCATTGCCGAACAGTTGTGCCCCAGTGAGTCCATCATCAGGAACATACCCTGCACCACCACTGATCAGGAAATCTGCCATTCTGAAAACTGAAATGAAACATTATGAAGGTGTGGGGAAGGCTAGCCCCCTCCCCCAAGCCCAGTCAATCACCTGACTTTGCACTACCTAAGTGCTTTTAACAGTCATGGCTAACACCGGGGAGTTTTATTGATTTCAGCTCATTCATTTAAGTACAAAGAGGGGCATGAACATGAAGGAACAAATTGAGGAAGATCCGTTGAAACTGTACAACTGTATATCAAATGCAATGACTATTACAATACCTTGAAACACAAGTTGTGTGATCTACTTTTAAAAGACCACTTGTTATCAATTATGTCTGACTTCTCTGGCAAGGTCAAACGATGCCAGACACATAACAGTTGTCTCTATGTAGCTAAATATGTCTAGCAAACAAGCAAAGGAATTTACTCATTGAAAAGTAAGTGTTAACATTTACTTTTCAATGAGTTTGAGGTCACTCCATGCACCATTCCATCTTGGCATGGGCATGATCAGACCCTTTATTTCCAGTGATGGTATTAGCACACTGTGATTCATCATACACACTACTCTGCACATTTAAAAAAGCCTGGCATGACCTGGAATTTAAATCTGCTGATGTATTTGCAAATAAATGTATATCTAATAAACTATATGGAACTATCAATTGCAGTCTATGAAACTATCTTTTGAAGTCTAATGAGGTTTATGAAACTAGCTATTGGAGTCCAATGAAGTCTATAAAGTCCATCACAAATTAACATCCATATCAATGACTATTTAAGCCAGGTTAGCAGCAAAAATATTCACTAACAACCTTTTCCAAGCTCAGCGGAGTAGGTAATGATGATCATCTAATTACTTTTCCCTGAGAACAGTCATCTGCACCCATCAAAAATTGTTTAAAACAGGATCTAGGTGCTGCAAAAATGGTACTTGACCCTTGCCAAATGCCCAGCAGAAAAAAAAACACTGTGATGCCTAGGTATATCACATCTGCACTGGGCCTCATTCTTGTCTATGCAAAACTTGGACTAGGCCCGGCTGACCTGAATTTATCATGCATTTTGCAAAATATGTTTTTGAAAACTCCTCTCAACAAGCCATTGTGCTGAAATTGGTGCCAACTGGCACACAGCTGTGGGCACTGGGATTTACATCTAGAATGCACCCAAAAATTCTAAAAATTGTATCCTAATGGGTTACCTCCTATTTCAGACATGTACATCTGCTGGTGTCACCATTATCTCATACATCATGTTGCTACTTTACTGACAGTTTTATCATGGGTAGTTTTTAAAGTCTGGGCACTAAGAAGTTTTTCACCTTAAACCAATTATGATCTTTAAAACTATGCAAGCCAGGGCCAAACAAAAAAGAGCAGTTTTAAATCATCCTTGTGTGAAGTGGTCTAACCTGCTTGACAAAAGAAACCAGTGCAATACCAATCCGCTCTAGAATAACATCAATATGAAGAAAGGGAGCAAAGCAAACTTTTGGATGATGTCACCAGCATAACCTTATAACCTAAAAACCTGAAACCTAAAACCCTAGATAACCTAAAAATGGACGGCGGCAATGCACAATCGAGGTCAGAACCTTCAGATTTTGACACCATGTGCACAAATTTGTTGACTGGGATACGTAACATTTCAAAACCATGCTCAAAACCTTTTAGAAGTTATTTCAGAGACGCCCTCTCCGATCCCCTTTCGCAGCGGCCCTCAGAACAAAGACGGTGCTATACGGAATCCCTGCCCTCCTGAAAATAGCCCACACCGGTACCAACAGATCTCATAAAATGCCGGTTCTCCAGCCCACCTGCGATACGGCCCACGCGCGTCACCGCTCCAGTCGCAAGTGGCACGCCGCGCGGTTACGGTCCGCGGTTTACACGATACGGCCGTCACATGGCATAACGCGTGGATCTGCGCCACGTTCGTCAAGGCTGGTTCGTGCTATCTCTTGCACCAAGGCCAGTGTACCAGGTAGATTAAGGTAGAATCATTGACACCAAACACGCAAGCCTCAAACGTTCTATCCATTTTGATGACCTCATTCGAAGTCCCCCCGGGATACAATGGCACCGACATTGTACTTCGCGGAAGTGGCGAGTGCAAACGTAGCCTCAACGCAACACACCGTCATATGTTGTATTAATGCCACATTCAAGTCACCTTTAAAGCAAATATAAGCCTATGATCAGATCACCAATCAGAAGTGCTAGATACCACCTCGATGCAGCTATATCTGTGACCGATGTCACTGAGATGAATGAGAGTGCTGTACAAATTGACAGAGGAAGCATAGTTAAGTGGGACGGATTTGAGAATAATGGTATTACTCGCATTTTACTGCAGTAGAAGCAACGGTACTACAGCCTCTAATTACCTCTGCTTTGATCACCTCACGCAAAATTCCTGGACTCGAAAGTTGTGTGCATGTACTTGACATGCATCTTAAGTACTGGCCCCTACCTGTTACTCACTATTTAAGTCAAATGACGTACATCTAGCAGCGACTATTCTACTGAAAACCGTGGACTTTTTTCATGCGTCCTTGTCGAAATGGACACAATTCTATATTGTATCACCGGCGTTGGTATCACCAGGCCATTGCACCGTTGGGGTTGCATGGAGTGGGGCGGCGGTGATTCTGCGCGAGTGTATTCGCAGCTTCTTTTGCTGGGTGTGTGAGACAGACGGTGGGTTGTTACTGTCCCCAGGGTCGGGGTATACATTACCTACACCGTCGCCAGCGGCGGAATCTCTGAACTAGTATGTCAGTGACGTTGTTAAAAGTAAGACGAGCCTTAAGCCTGGTTAAACAAAGATATCGACCAGTACTTGCGGTGGACATGCGAGCATACGTATTATATGTTTTTAGCAGTGCTTTTTCATGGTTAGGAGTGTGACATGACCTTTTTCTCTCAATGCTTACCTTACCTTATGGTGATCGAGAATTGTAAAAGGCCACTAGGCCTGTAGGTCCCGGTCTCGTCAGGTTCCCGGTCCGGTAACCAAACAGTCTCAAATTACGGGAAGATTCAGTGTGGGACGTTGTACATGACAAGCCTAGACTTGAACTGTTCAAATGAGGTCGACGACAGGACGGGGTGTGAAAGAGCATTCCAGTTGTTGACAACCTGCATGCTGAATGAGTTACGACAGATGAGAGTCCTAGCTCGAGGTTTTCTGAGCTTCCCTTGGTGTCCTCTCGTCACCTCCGGTACTTGGGGCCGATAGTATCAACATTGCAGGAACTATGTCATATTGCCTTCTGATAATTGCATTGCATGATGCTTGTTTTCATTTCACCAGCATCCAGTTTGCCTGGCATGTTGGCAGTTGGATATTTTGAACACCAGATTAAATGTTGGATAGCAATTTTAATAGAATACATCAGGCACAGGATAATGTATTAAGGTGTTGGCACTTGCTATTTTGTTGCTTTTTATGTATCCAGTGATTTCCTTGTCATCTAGCACTGGCATTTTTGTTTGTAAGAAATTCACAAAATCATGCATTCTGTATGGCATGCAGTTTTGATAATGCAATTGTGTCATGATGAACTTATACACCACAGGCCCAAGTGGTCTATAACAACATGAATAATGCAAGGTATAAGGTGCAAGGTATACAATTTGGTTGAGTATATGATCAGTGTTATGGGATGTTGAGATTATATGTCTGCCACAGAATAAACATGATCAAATTCTTACAATGGTTCTAGGTCTTACTGTCTATAGCAGATTTTTTATACTCAACAAAAATCATGCAGTTCAGAGCGAGCAACATAAGCACTGTTCTACTCTGTTTTTCATGCTTGCATGTGTAAAATGTGGTCATTTGTGGCAATGATGCATTTTCCATGACATCCACTTAATGATGGTACAGTTAAATGTAGCACATTATGTGCTAGTATATTTTGCTGACATTTACAAACATGGTATTCCAGGTGGCAATGAACTTGGGTTGACATCTGGTTGTGGTCAAAGCATTGCTGACCAGAGCCAAAATACCTCCAGTCATTGCTGATCGAGAGCTCAGGGTCATTGTGTAAAGCTCAGCTGTCTGTTGAAAGAGGAAAAGCACCACTGTATGAAGACCAAGTTTTGCCATACTCTAGGAGGACATGACATTGCTGATATTTAGTGTCCTGAGCTGAGGATTGTGTATGGTGAAAGTGGTGCCAGAATTGGTGCAAACACCACAAGAATAAGATAGAAGTCCAGTGTTGCAAGGCTGCAGAGTGTAATTTCTGCAATTACAAAGCTCTGCACTTGGGCTGAACATCAGCATGCTGGGCCTAGTAGCCGACAGCTGGCTGCCGAGTGCCACGGTGCTGAGGGCCTGACCTGAGCGGCGCTGGCGGCCGGACGCAAGCAGTGCTGAGGGCCTGGGCCGAACGGCGCTGACGGCCTGACGCAAGCAGTGCTGAGCAACGGATTTGTAGCATCAAGACTGGGAGGCGGCCGACGGTCGCAGCGATGGGCGACGCCGGCCAGGAGCTGCACTACGAGCCGCTGCCGTACCGCGACCTGTGGCCGGGCGTGGACGAGCTGCTGCCGCCGCTGGCGCGCCACGAGCCTGACCAGCTGGGCGCGCGGCCTGATCCTCTGCTGGACGCGCACCTGCTGCTGGACGGACCGTTCGCGGCGCCCGCCGAGCTGGAGGTGTCGGCCGCCGGTCGCGACGCGCTCGACCTGGCGTTCGCGCCGGCCGAGCTGGCGGCGGCCGGCCGCGGCGCGCGCGTCCTCTACGGCAGCGTCAACTCGGACGGCGACAAGCTGGTGCTGCGCTTCCGACTGGCCGACGACGCCGGCCAGCCAGAGCACAGCGTTTGCAAGCTCTGCGACGGGCAGGTGGACCTGTTCCGCGCGCACGAGCACAGCGTGCAGGGCCGCTTTGTGCTGTCAGGCGACGGCGTGGTGCTGGAGGTGGGAGCCGTGACGCTGCCCGCCCCGCCGCCCCCGCCGCCGCCGCCGCCGCCGCCGCAGGTGATAGCTCCGGAGTCGGTTGCGGCGCCTCCGGAGCCGCCCCCGCCGCTGCCGCCGCCGCCGATGCCGCAGCCGCCACCGACTACGACGTCGTCATCGTCGACTCGGACCGCAGACGTGGAGTCGGCCGAGACGGTGGACGACCCTCTGCCGTACGCCTGCGACGTCTGTCAGAAGGCGTTCAGCACGCGGCGCGTGTTGAACAAGCACCTGCTGAGCCACGCGGGCGTGCGGTATCCGTGCGAGCAGTGCGACAAGAGCTTCCCTCGGCTGGACCGGCTGCGCCGCCACCAGCTGACGCACGCCGCCGTACGACCGTACGTGTGCCAGACATGTCAGAAGGGCTTCAACCGGCGCGAGTACCTGGTGCAGCACCAGCGTGTGCACTCGGGCGACCAGCCGTTTCAGTGCGACATCTGTGGCATGCGCTTCAGTTTGCACTCCAACTTCACCATGCACAAGCGAGTGCACGCGCAGGAGAAGCGGTTCACGTGCGATGTGTGCGAGCGCGGCTTCAACCGGCTGGACCACCTGGAGACGCACAAGCTGCAGCATACTGGCGAGAAGCCCATGATCTGCGAGAAGTGCGGTCTGCAGTTCTCCATCAAGGAGAAGTTGCAGCGGCACATGCTGGTGCACGCCGACGAGAAGTCGTTTGCCTGCGCCATCTGTGCTCGCCGCTTCCGCCGCAAGGACAAGCTGGACGCGCACATGGAAAAGCACGCGTCTGGGCCCGGCCAGGCGTGTCAGCTGTGCCCTAAGGTGCTGCCTCGACGCGAGCTGCTACGCCAGCACGAGCGCCAGCACGCTGACCCTGCCAAAGTGCAGTGTCCCACCTGTCTCAAGTTTTTCGCCGACCAGGCTAAGTACCAGGCGCACGCGCAGCGCCACAAGCCGCTGGTGCGCGACGCGGCGCGCCATCAGTGCGAGATGTGCATGAAACCCTTCCGGCGGCCAAACGTGCTGCGTGCGCACATGAAGAAGGCGCACGACCGCGTGCTGGCCAGCCCGGCGCGCGTGATGAACAACAAGCCGCGCTCCTTCCAGTGCCACCTGTGCCGGCGCGGCTTCACGCGCCAACAGACGCTCAAGGCGCACGTCCAGCGCGTGCATGAAGCGGCCGAGCCGGAGCCGGAGCCGGACCCGGTGGCCGAGCCAGAGCCGGGGCCAGAGCCGGCCCCCGTCGCGGACTACGCTCCGGCCGCTTGTCCCAGCACGCAGGAGCTGGCTCACGCGCCCTTCCTGCTGGCCTTCCCGCACTATACGTTCTGAGGAGCGCGAGCGCCGGTGGAAACAGCTCCCTCCATGACGACGGGCCGCGCGGGCTCGTGACATGGGCTGACTGGTGGAGTTATTCGTGTCGCGCGACACTGTCTAAACGTGAATGGTATGTTCCAGTGGTTTTCTACATGCGTACTGGGGTGCGGGCACCCGCCCCTCGGCATCAGGAGTGACTCATGTCGCATTCGTTTCGACCTCGGGCTGCTGGAGACTGGAACCATCGCCTTCTGGCGGTCTCTGCCAACTTTGTGATCTCTGACAGGCTGCTTTGGACGGATTGGATTTGGATTGCGATTAGTAGAGGTCTAGGACTGTGATGCATTAGTGTCGCCTTGACCGGGTGTAAGTCGTCCAATGCCGTACCAGATAACTGTTTCGGGCTCAGATCGCCCAGCGCTGTAAGGTAGATCATTGGCTGAGCAGGTAATATGCATAAACGGGGGCGTCGCGTCGGCACTATGTAGGTTCCTATGCTGTCATCCAGTCCGAATAAATTCAGATGACGCGTTGATTAGCGCACGCGTGAGCCCGGTCATAGTGCTTAGGCCGTATTTATTGGTGATGGGAACGTTTGTTGGTATTGCGTCCTCCATAAAGGAATCCTCTGGTCTGAAACGGAAAATTGATGGCCACGTCTTTACGTTTACGACCACTGTCCTGCGATGTGTGCCAACAAAACTGATGTGGTGTGCGATGTACTGTAATTGTGTTGCCGTTCAAAGAGTGGTGTTCAGTCACGTGACGAATCTCACCGACGTACGTCTCTGGGATGAAATGAACGCATTTTCGCAATTCTGAATTGCCTTCTCTGAAATATGTCGTTTGTACTTGGCAGTGGCAGCTCACTTAAATTTAGAGGACATTTGCCACAAAGTCTGCCGACAGTTACTGGGATCGCGCTAGATGCGGACCAACCGGGCTCGCTGGGGAATGCCGAATCTGACCCGAGCTGATGCTGGTTAGCGTTAACGGTCAGGAGCGCGGTAACTGGAAAGGTGTGGGGCTGGGCCCAGCAATGTCTGAAAAGAAATTGCTGACGGTGTTTCCCCCTGGCTTGACGGAATTTCCGTTGCCCCTACTAGCAGCTTTTGAAGCAATGTATACTGACGTCACATGATTTTAAAATATTTGTGGTTTTTGGTAAGTTGATGCACGACAGATGCGGCGACCAAAAGTCTAGGCTGGATTAATAAATCGCTAATTTCGCGGACAACAAAGTGCTAGATGCTGACAGCAGGGGAGTTCGCGTTCAGTCAGATCTTGGCGAGCCGAACTCCAAACGTCGCGCCCTTTCCTGCAAATCAAAGCAAAAAGAGAATCTGGTTTTCGACCCTTTGCACCGCCGTCGTTTTTCCTGCTACTGAGTATGTCGGCGATCTGTGTCCATCGAGATTTCTCTTTTTTACTGAACGGCGCTGAGTAAGTTCCAGAAACAGGTAGGTCGAGCTGATTTACACACTATTAACTTGCAACAATAGCAGTTGCTTTTACAGTCGTACGTTAGATTATAATTGCAACATCAGACCGTTGCCCGGGTGTGCCAGATTGTGTCACAGGGGTCCCTTTTGGCCAGCATGATTTTCTTTTCGTCATCAAATGATCCCTGCCGTTCGAGAACCCTTGAAGACTTAGCCTCAGGGTCGGGATTTCCTTCAGCCCCCCAACTTTTAGAGGAAAGTAGCCAAATCCGCGCAGAGCCTCGCTTGTTGGACTTTTGGGTGTGTTGCTTTATTTTTTTTTTACTGCTTCCCCGCCCCAACCCGTTCTGCGAAAGTATGCCTTTGCTCGGGATCATATTTTATGCCTGTTGCCCGTTTTGTGAGGCTTTAGAAGCCCTTCCGGGCTGCGGTGAGGGCTTCGTATTTCTTACCAGGGGCGCTGAAGTGCGTATTCAGTTGGGTGGACTGCAGCAACCGAACTTTGAGAAGAAACTGGGCCAAATCTGACGAAGAAACTGTCGAGACATTTTGAGCAAGGTTGTCTCATTTTTCACGTCTTAGCCCCACCTCTCAACTCGTTTTGCGAAACTTCGCCCCTGCCTCGTAGTGCAGTAACGAAGCAGTTCCGTTTCGGTGTTCATTTTCGTCTAGAAACATTAGAAATTGTCTTCTTTAAGAAATGCTTATGAGGAAGATGGTGGTTCTGATGAGCTGCGATGTAAGTCTTACCACGTTCTGGCATATTTGCAGCTGAAATGAATGCACCAGAAAGAATGCGTTCCCTTGCAGGAATGAGGAGTTACAGGATTATTTTAATATAGTGGCGTGTAGCACAAGGTAAGCAGGCAAAGCTGTCTTTTCTGCGTTAAGTTTGTCTACAACCCGCGTCTTTCGTTAGATAACTTTAGATGTGAGCGTTGATAGCTGCCGTCATTTACATTTAAACCGTTTACGGCGGGCGGTGTGGATGCGCGTACGTGTTTACCAGAATCTAGGGTGCATAGATTTTGCCCCTTTACTAAGCATGGCTTAACACTGTATTGTTATGGACACGGTAGCCGTTTATGCACATAGTGTCCCTTGCCCCGTTATAAAGTATTGTTATTAACACAATGTCCGTTACAATGATCCACTTGCTTTTATATCCCTACAATTTTAAGCAGTTATGGATGGTTTTTTAGCAATTTTTCAACCAAAGCATTGAAATGGATCAGTTTTTGTTGAGATCTTGTGAGGGGGTGGGGCTGAATGTGATTCAGACTATGACCAAGACTAGGGGATATTTTTGGCTATAGAATATGCTGTGTATTCATGTGCCCATGCTGTATCAGACTGAGTTGCCCATCCTGTGTTGTGAGTTGTGAATGTGCCCATCATATTAGGCCCATTGAGAGATGCCCTGCTGTTAAAAGCTTTGGTGATATTTGGGAAGAGACCTTTAAAACCAATGTTTTTGCCAAGTCACATCTCTGCTGACTGCCCATGCTATTGTCTGCAGGTCTCCCTTTTGAAGTAAGGAAACACAACCATGGCTTTTGGTGGATTTGGAGGCTTTGGAGCAGCCTCATCAGCTCCCTCTGGTAAGTGAATTGGTGAGCTCTTGTTTGTGACAATGAACTTACTGAGAGTTGGCATGATAGAATTAGCAAGTCCTCAAAGTTGTATGTGGTAATGAATGTCACCCATTTTGTGTAAGAGCTTTATCAGATGATAGTTTTATATATAGCAAGTATTAATATTATGTCAGTAACTACTTACGTACATAAATGCACTTTGAGCCGTGACCAAATCCAGCGAGCTTTAGTTTTGCCAAGTCAGCCAGGTGAAGTGCTGTTATAACCCTCCAACCCTGTTTGCATATTTTTATATCTTTTGTTTGTTATGGTTTTCTTACATTTACTGGGAAGGCATTGCTTCAGTAAAGATATGCAATTTGTTGCTGGATATTTGTTGACCATCCAACCTGTTACAGGGTCTCTGTTTGGCTCAGCTTCAACCCCTTCAGTTGCAGGGTTTGGCACAACTACAACAACAAAAAGTGAGATGACAGATGATGGGAGCTAAATTCTCCTGGCTGAGTAGCTGTTAAAGCCAGTTTGTTAATGTACTTTAAGGTGTTGCATCATCTATGCACCTTGTATGTGTAACATTTGACTTCTGGACTATGGAGGGTTATATTTTGATTTGTATAGGCAATCATGTCATGACTTATACAATAAGTGATATTGCATGCAGACCATGTACAATGGCCCATTGTGTTAAGTCGTGTGAGCTCTGTATTTTTTCATTACATTTGTAACCTGTGTAAGCTTTTGTGCACCCCTGTCCATCAGGTGTCACATTTGGCCAGCCAACCGCCAGTACAGGATTTGGAGGCTTTGGCACCCCAGCAGCAGCTGTCCCAACTGCCGGCCTCAGCTTTGGCACACCGGCATCAACAGCTGCCACGGGCTTCAGCTTCGGAGCACCTGCATCTTCAGCTGGCACTGCCCTCAGCTTTGGAGCACCCGCATCTTCTGTTGGCACTGGTTTCAGCTTTGGGGCGCCAGCATCTTCAGCCTCCACTGGTTTCAGCTTTGGCACCCCGGCATCTGGAGCTTCCACAGGTTTCAGCTTCGGTACACCTGCATCATCAGCTGCGCCGGGATTCAGTTTCGGCGCGCCTGCCTCGTCGGCGGCGACAGGGTTCAGTTTCGGCACGCCTGCCTCGTCCGCGGCGGCAGGGTTCAGTTTCGGCGCCGCGGCACCCGCCGCCACTGCGGGACTCAGCTTTGGCAAACCATTCACCACGACGACCGGTCCAAGTGAGAGATACTCTCCCCCTGGTGACATGCGTTCAGTCTTGGGTGACGTAGTGGGATGCTCAATCGTTCTGCGCTAAAACTGAACTGATATTCATAATGTGAGCTACCTTTCCTGACAGAACTACTGTGCTGTATTATCGCCAAATGTCGAATGTGCCGTGGACAATCCACCATGTGACATGACTCTGCTGGCAACATGCCTGTTGAAGTTAACTAAATGCTTCTCAGCCATGGAACATTGGTTTTTTAAGTTTTGATCGCAAAACTTTTGCCGGTAGCATCGGTGTGGTGTGGAAGAGCGGTCCACAACAGTTTTGTCTATTAAGAATCCACCGAGTAGAGGTTTTGTTCAAGGAAATCAGACCTTGGACTTCTTAGAAACTTTGCCACTTTTAAGGTTTGCCGCGGCCGTCATGTCCGAGTAGATTTGCCGGTGGCATATTTTGGTAGTGCTCGTGAGTTACGGCGCGTGGCTGGCTATGGTCCCAAGCTTCGCCTTCTTGTGTTCGTAGGCCCACTAATTGCGGGTGTTGTGGAGGCCCACCAATTACGGGTGTTCCAAAGACCCACTAATTGCGGGTGTTGTGGAGGCCCACCAATAACGGGTGTTCCAAAGGCCCACCAATTG